ATTTGAAGAAAATCGAATACTTATTTACAATTCCATAGAAATAATTGCTAGTGGGAAAGGTGCTAGAAGGAGTGAACCGATATATTCCATCTTCGCTCCTGTTCTTGTGTTTGGGAAAATATTGGGGTGAAAGGAATCGGATGCTCATTTCGCGTTTTACGATCTATTCAAAATTTAAACCCATTATGTGAGAGGTACCAGAAGGAGTGGATCGATATATCCAATTTTCATAACAGACCTTGTGTTGGTAAAAATATTAGAATGTGTGAATTTGAAGGCAATTGGACTCTTATTTCTCATTTTGTAAGGGCTATAATTATTCCAAATTTGGACCCTTTGTGGGGGAGGTACCAGAATGAGTTTGCCGATATCTGCCATCTTCCCAAGAAAACTTGTGTTGATAGAAATATTGATATATGCTGAGTTTGAAAGGAATCGGATGCTTACATCGCATTTTATCAGCGTTTCGATCATTCAAAATGTTGACCCTTTTTGGGAAGGTACCGAAAGGAGTGCACAAAAATATCCAATCTCCACATTAGGTCTTGTGTTAATTAAAATATTGTGATATGCGAAATTTTATGAGAATCGGATGCTAATTTCTTATTTAATGAGAAACATAATTATTCAAAATTTTGACCCTTTGTGGAAAAGACATTTGATGGAGCGGGCAAAGTTTGCACAAAATCGAATGATCTTTTCGCTTTCTGCGAGGTAAAGGTTTTTATTTGAAAAACTCTTACCTATTTTGGGGGGGGGGGGGTAGGTTTCGTGTGGTTTACCAAAAGGAGTGGACCGATGTTGCCCATTTTCGAACTCAATCTAAGTTCGACAATAATTCACCCTTCTAGGTTAATCGTGCGCACCAGACAGACAGATAGATCTACTCCAAATGTCCTGAAACAGATTTAGTCCAAAGATACCAATGGTCTAAAACTATTATTTCGATGAGGCACGTTTTAGTCGTATGAACTGATATATACCTTCTGTAGCCATATGGCTGAGGGTATAACAATAAATTCGGTACAAAATAGTACTATATTTGATACAATAAAACTATATTTGGGTAAACAGATAGTACCTGAAATTTGGTATTAGGGTCGCTGTACATGTGTAGTTTGGACATCGAAAAAGTGTACTATAATTGTACGAAAATATTTTGATTTTGAAAATTTTGATTTCGAGGTCTCTGTTGGTAACTGGAATTGAGGTATGGAGGTATTTTTGGAAATGTGTTCCTTTATTGTACAAAAGTACTAAATTTGGTATTGGGTGAAGGAATAGAGCTGAAGTCATAAAATTTGATATGGATATCAAGTTGGTTTTGGAAATGTGTACTATAATATACGATAAGTACTAAATTGTACATAATTTGGTAATTGGGAAAAGTAAAAATGCAGAAATCCTGAATTTTGATATTAAAGACACTGTTGTCATCTGAGGTTGTATGAAAATTACTAAGTGGTACCAAATGTGGTCTTTATTTATGTGTGATATTTAGATAACTGTGTGTATCGGATGTTTGGAGGTGGGCTTAGAAATGCGTACTATAATTGTTGTTGAACTAGATTTTGGAAGGGGGTGTAGGATCACTTTTGGTGTCTTAGAGAGTGAGAGAGATAGAAAGTTTTTGGGATATGCGCACTAAATATTGCTAAATTTGACATCGGGTGAAAGAACTGAGCTGAAATTTGATATTGGGGTCACTGTTAGTTTTTATGGTTTGCTTATGGAGGCGTTGAAATAGTTTTGAACAGAAAAATTCGATGAGGGTCTGTTGTAGTTCCTCGGTAAACTTCAAAAAGAAAGATTTGAAAATATTAATTAAAATTTATATTTTTTTAGCTATGGTAGAGGGCATCTTATTTTTGGCAATGTAAAAATATAGTTTTTTTTTTTTTTAATAAAATGTCAAATGCTCAGAGTTTCAAGAGGGATCATTGAAAATGGCCACATATAAATGTCTGGCCACCTCACATAAAATCTTCCAAGTATGATTCTCTAAAAAACAATAAGTAAATAAGCTGTGAGAACTTTGAATACCCTCCATCATTTGGAACGAATTTCTGTTAAAATCTTAAAAATGCCGAATGTAGCTGTTATATTAGGATCTATACGACGACTTGGACCTACATAGGTAACTTTTGTCATAAGCTATTACAATATTCAAATGCGAAACTTGAAAAAACATCGGTGAATAATGTAGCTAAAATCATCAAAATACCGAATATGGGGAGGTGCCGTTATATGGGGGCTGTACGAAGGCGGGAACCTGCACGGACAATTTCCTGTCATAGGCTGTAGCACCTATTACGATCTTCAAATACCAAATTTGAAACATTTCCCTTGAATAAAGCCGCTTGAATTACCAAAATACTGAAAATAGGGAGGTACAATTGTATGAGGGCTATACAAAGACGTGGACCTGCACAGACAATTTTCAATCATAGGCTGTAGCACCCATTACGATCTCCAAATACCAAATTTGAAACATTTCCGTTGAATAAATATAATTACCAAAATACCGAATATCGAGAGGAGCCGTTATATGGAGGCTATACGAAGGCGTGACCTGCACGAACAAATTTCTGTCATAGGCTGTAGCATCCATTACGAATTTCAACTGTCAAATTTGAAACATTTCCGGTAAATAATGTCGCTGCAATCGTCAAAATACCGAATATCGGGAGGTGTCGATATATGGGGGCTACACGAAGGCGTGGACCTGCACGGACAATTTTCTGTCATAGGCTGTAGCATCCATTACGAACTTCAACTGTCAAATTTGAAACATTTCCGGTAAATAATGTCGCTTAAATCACCAAAATACCGAAAATAGGGAGGTACCATTGTATGGGGTCTATCGTGGGTCAAAACGTGGACCTACATAGCCCAACCTACCAAAAGTCCTGCAGATATTATATACATTTGAGTAAAATTTTATCAGCCTACTTCATTTCTAGATTGATTTCCACAGACGGACGGACATCGCTTAATCGACATACAATTTTATGCTGATGAAGAATATATATACTTTGTGGGGTCTAAAATGTACATTTTGGCGTGTTACAAATTGAATGACAAACTTAATATACCCTCCATACTATGGTGGAGGGTATAAAAAATTTCAAAACCTCTAAAAATTTTCGCTGATGAGTTACAAAAAATTAAATACACCCTTCCATTATGTGGTGTAAGAGCCGAAGATATTCCATTTTTTTGTCAATTTTGTCTCCAAATACGAGATTTGCATTAGAATCATCAAAATGCCTAATATCTGGGAATATAATTTTAAGGGTCCTATACCAAAACTGAGTTCTAAACATGCAGTTCTATGTAATAATGTTGCTTACATGCTGGGAACACAAAGTGTAAATTTACAGAAAATTCGGTTTAAAATAGTAGTTACTACCAAAACACCTTAAATGCACTGCTATTGTTATGTGTGGGCTATACCAAAACGTGTACCTATATTTTCCAAGAATACATATACTTTGTGTGGTATACAAAAGCAATGAAAAACTAAAACCAGTAAAGAAAGTCTTAATGTCGGGCTGGGCCGACTTTATGATACTCTACACCACTTTGCTAACTTAGTAGAGCTCCGCATAACAATTAAAAGTTTTTATGGGAGAATTCTATCATACAAGCTATGATTATAATTATAATTTAAAGTTCAAAAGACTAAATATGCCGAAGCATTTGTATCTTTTAAATTCGAACTTGTATTGACCATTTGATATATATGGGAGCTATATCCAAATCTGAACCGATCCTGATAAAATTTGGCAAAGATATTTCTGAGCTGCATTTCATATATTTCCCTGAATATCGTTGTTACGGAGTGCATATTACGGCTGTGGGTAACAAATATAACAAATCGGATGAACAATATGTATGGGAGCTATAGTTATATCTGAACCGATCTTCACCAAATTTGACAAACTAGTTTATAGACTCAATTTGGTCGTAAGTGCCAAATTTCATCCCATTTGGACAAATATTAGACGTTTGGTGCAAAATAAAATGTAATCGGACGAAGTTATATCCGAACAAATCCGAAATTTAGCGAAGGTATTTCTGAGCTGTATTTGATATATTTCCCCAAATATTGTTGTTACAGAGTGCATATTTCGGCTGCGGTGGACAAAAATAACAAATCGGATGAACAATATATATTGGAGCTATAGCTATATCTGAACCGATTTGGTATACTTATTTTCAGGCCTAGTTTGGTTGTATGTGCAAAATTCCATACTATTCGGACTGATATTACAAGTTTGGTGCACAGTAAAAGACAAATCGGACGAAGATATATATGGGAGCTATATCTAAATTTTTCACCGATTATCTCCAATTTCAATAGGGTTCGTCTTTGGGCCAAACAAAACTATTTGTGCAAAATTTCATCTTATTCGGATAATAAATGCTACCTGTATTTTGTTCACAAGAATACATGGACAGACGGACGGACGGGCAGACGGATTGACATGCATAAATCAACTCAGAAAGTGAGTCTATGGAGATCCTCAAAAGTAACTATGGGTCTATCTCGCTTCCTTCTCCATGTTACAAACAAATGCACACATACATAATACCCTGACCACCTTGTGGTGTAGAGTCTAAATAGTACGCTGAATATGATTTGTTATATTAAGATTGATTTTAAAATTTTTGTCAAATCAAAAATTAGTTAGTAGTCGATAATGATTGTCTATTAATAGTGATAACCACCAATGAGAGCATATAGAATCTGGTCACCCCAAAACACTGGTAATGGCAACATCTGTCATCACGCATTGGAATAACACTCATTCGCGCGTAGGCACACACACACACTGACGCAAGCAAAAACTCTCCACACAACATTTCACATGGCAATCACCATTCAAAACAAAATAGGGTGGCAATGCTACACATAAACAAAATGTGGGTGGGTTTGGCTGGGTGGAGATGGTGGTGATGTTGATGGTGTCAGTCGGCTATGCTCTGCTTTCCCCGCCATTAAACTAAACAAAACATTTTTCGTACTGAGAAATGATAACAACATCCAAACGTTTTGGAACAACCAACGAACGGAGAAGTTCTGGAGGCGGTTGAAAAAGAAAAACCGAACAAATAAATGAGCGTAGAAACAAAGAGAACGAGAGAGTGAGTGGAATAGTGAGAGCGCGTATTAACGAGAGGACGAAAGAAACAACCAACATATTTTAATAGAACTTTTCCCAAATACAGAAAAGAATGAAAAAGTTTTTCAGTTCGAGTACAGAGATAAGAAAGAAAAGTTGAAATCGAAACGAATGAAGTAGTGAATGTGTAAAACAAAATCGTTTTTTTATACAAAGAAAATATTACAGAAAAAAAGGAGTGAAATAATCGAAAATCAAAAGTGCAAAAAGTGTGTGTGAAAAACTTAAAACATATTTTAGTTACCCAAATATGAATTTGATTTGCCAAGGAATTCAGTGATGGATGTGTGTGCGTGTGTGTGCCTGTGAATCTAAGGACCTCCATCATATTTTTATTCAATTTGGATTTCCTTATGGCAACCTTGTAAGGTTTTGTGATAGGGAGTTCATGGTAGATGATTAGGAAATCCAAAAACGAGAGAGAGAGAAAACAACGTAATTTTGGGTGGAAAAGTTGGGATGGGAGAGAGCTGGTTCCCCAAATAAAAATATGTTTTTTTTTCGATTACAAATTGCGTTAATATTAGAAGTTAAAATGTTGAATCCAAATTAATAACACATTAAGGGTCACGACTATTGTATATCACATGCTCTAATTTGTTCCAGATTTGTATGGCTGTCAGTCGGATTTTCTTTTTGTTAATTTTTCTTCCGTTTTGCTATTCTCTTCCGTATTTTATTCCTTAATTTTTCCTCTTCTTCATAGTCCGTGTGTTCCCTTTTTTATGTGTTATGAAGGTTTTGAGGTTAAGTTTTTCGCATAAGAACCAGTGTTGCCCTTTCTAGATTTTACATTTTTTAGCAATATTTTGCTTGACATCGACCCAAGCTCGTTTAGGGGTTTGCATCATGAAACGGTACTTTTCAAACGTAAATACAATTTTAAAACGAATATAATCTTAAGATTAACTGTGTCTAGTGGTATTTTACATAAATAATTAAAAATATGTATGTTTTTGAGTACCTCAAATCGATATAAAATATTAAATGGTATGCAAAGCTATCCCGGATACAATCAACTGGGCCTGGTCCTTTTTAATTCATATATCACGCCCACTCCGATAAGATTTTTCTTTCAAAGCTCAAAATGTGCCATTTCCGCCTATTTATACCCTACAACACTATGTGTTGGGGGTATTATAAGTTTGATTGGGCCAAAAATTATGTAACACCACGAAATATTGATTTCCCACATAGGAAAGTATATATGGATCTTCCTATCTCGCCGAGCTGAGTCGATCTAGCTATGTATGTCCGTCCGTCCGTCTGTCCGACTGTCCATGTTAATTTGTAATCAGTCTATAGGTCGCAATTATGGCCCGATCTTCACGAAATTTAGAATGGAGGTGGGGCTAGGGTCAGAATAGAACCCTATTTCTTTTGGAGATGATCGCCAAATGTTTAGGGTTTGAAATGGACCAAATACTGAAAAAATATCGGATTTTGCAGTAGCTATACAGGTCGCAATTATAGACCAATCGACGCGGAATTTGGCATGTAGCTAGAGTTTTGGGCGGGGAAGAAGCCCACCAATTTGGGTGGTCATCGGATAATATTTAGCGGGTAAAATAGGCCATATCTTTTTTGTTGAAAAAATTCAAAATTATTCATTAAACCGCGAATATTTTAAATCCCGGCGAAATCACAAAGCCATGACAAGGTTACTTCTGATCTTTACATTGATGTTAAGATCCAAAAAAATCGAATATATAGCAAATATATGCGATATATATGTCTATAAAAGAAGATATGCTTGAAAGATCTCATATATGTCGAGAACGGCTGAACTGATTTCGACAGTTCTCATTAATTCAGAATGGCCTCTTGGCAGGAAAGGAAAAACGTCTGAAAAGCGCATACAAATATCTCTCTAAAGATGAAAATATTGATTTTGTAATATTTTCTCATATTTTTTCCATTTTGTCATATTTTTGGCATAATTTCATTTTGAATTAAACATTTGGTAATATTTCTACAGCTAACAAAACTAAGTAGTTTGGATATCAGGATATCATATACAGATCGCATTTATGGCCCGATCCTTACGAAATTTTGCATGGGGATAAGATGAGGGTCAGAATAGAAGCCTACTCTTTTTGGAGATGATCGCCATTTATTTAGGGGTTGAAATGGACCAAAAAACTGCAAAATTGTCAGCAAGTCGTAATTATCGCCCAATACTCACGCACATTTGAATGGGGGTTACCGGACATTGCAAAAAGCCAAAAATATTCAATGTGTGAAATAGTTTGCCAACTTTTGTAGACAAAATACGAAAATGTCCATTCCAGTGACTTTTTGGAGAATTTACAAATACAGGAAAGACACGCTTCTGACTATGTCGTTAACGCTGATTTCGTTGAAGAATATAGTCAAATGTCTGTATCTCATATAGATGCGTTACAGTCAAAAATGTTAATCTTTTGCCACTTATGAGAGATTATAGGTCTTTGGGAAATATTGGTTCCAGATCTAGGAAGACCATTTAAGTACAACATCTACCAATAAATTGGAAATGAGCAAATTAGTTTAAGTTGCTATTATTCGAAAATTAGAGAACGAAACCTAATGGTTTTCTTTTATTATTTGTCACAATATCTTGTGGAACTCTTTCGAGTATTTCGCCTATATAAACTGTATTGTTTATTATAGTGTTGTAGGGTATTCAACGGTCGGCCCCGCTAGACTGTAGCCTTTGCTTACTTGTTTCTAATATAGGTTTTTTGTAGCCTCTACAGATAGTTACAGGACTTGGTAGGGGAGGATCACATGTATGTTCCCTCAGCCATATGGCTGTAGAGCATACATATCAATTGATGCGGCCAAAGAGTGCCTCATCGAAATAACGGTTTTAGACCTTTCACCCAAACTGTTTTGGACATCTGGAGTCGATCTAAGGATGTCCGTCCGTCCGAGTGCTTGTCCGGCTAGCTGTTATGCACAATAACTCTTGAAGGGAGTATCCGATTTGATTCAAACTTAGCACATTGTGATATTATTGTCAAGCCTGGATCGAGTTCGGAGATGGTCAATATCGATTTACTCCTGCTGCTATCTCCCCCAGGTCAAAAAGGTCAAAAAGTTCAAAGAAAATAATTTAACTTATAGAAACAGGAAGTATCATTCAGTTTTGTGCAAACTCTGCAAATCCCAATATTTGTGTCATTGCCAACTCAGGTACGGAAATAGGCAATATCGGTCCAATCTATCATGTATCTCCCCACAAAGGGTCAAAATTTTGAGTAATAGTAACTGTCACAGAATCCGAAATAAACATCCGATTCTCCTCGAATTTCACAGTCCCCAATATTATTAATCTGGTGTGAATATGTTATATGTCGATCTACTCCTTATGGTATCCCCCTGAAGCTCATAAAACGTGAAAGGAGCATTCGATTCTTCTCCAACTCAGAACATTCCAATATTTCTATCAACGAAAGATCTGGTGTGAAGAGGAGTGTGCCGGACGACTCCTTCTAGGACCTCTCCCACAAGGGGTCAAAGATTTAAATAATAATATCTCGCATAAAATGCGAAATAGCCATCCGATTCTCTTCAAATTTTACAAATCCCAATATTTTTACCAACGCAAAACCTAGTGTGAAGACGATAAATGTCGGCCTACCCCTTCTTGCACCTCTCCCACAAAGGGGAAAACATTTTCAATGTATTCATCGCTTAAAAATTGAGAGCCAAGTCGGTGATTATTTTCAAATTTTGTAAATCTACATATTTTTCTCAACTTGAGATCTGAGGTGAATATGGAATTTATCGGTTCACTTCTTCTCGTACCTCCCCCACGATGTCTGTTTTTATACCCTACACCACACCGTGGTCAGGGTATTATGTCTTTGTGCATTTGCTTGTAACAGGCAAAAGGAAACGAGATAGACCCATAGTTCCTTTTGATGATCTGCATAGAATCACATGCTGAGTCGATTTATGCATGACCGTCCGTCCGTCTGTCCATGTATTTTTGTAAACAAAGTACAGTTCGCATTTATTGCCCTATCCAGATGAAATTTTGCACAAATCATTTGTTTGGCCCAAGGACGAACCCTATTGAAATTGGTAACAATTAAGATATAGCTCCCATATATATCTTCGTCCGATTTGCCTTGTATTGTGCACCAAACGTGTAATATCAGCCCGAATAGTATGGAATTTTGCATGTACGATCAGATTGGACCTGAATATAAGTATGCCAAGCTTGATCGAAATCGGTTCAGATATACCAATAGCTCCCATATTTATTGTTTATCCGATTTGTTATTTTTGTCCTCCGCAGCCGTAATATACACTCTGTAACAACAATATTTGGGGAAATATATCAAATACAGCTCAGAAATACAGAATTACTTTTGCTAAATTTTATCGAGATCGGTTCAGATTTGGATATAGCTCCCATATATAACTTCGTCCGATTTAACTTTGATTGTGCGCCAAACGTCTAATATTTACCCAAATGGGATGAAATTTGGCACTTACGACCGAATTGAGTCTAGAAGCTAGTATGTCAAATTTGGTGAAGATCAGTTCAGATATAGTTCTAGCTCCCATATATACTGTTCATCCGATTTTTAATATTTGTTACCCACAGCCGTAATATGCCCTCCGTAACAACGATATTCAGGGAAATATATCAAATACAGCTCAGAAATATCTTTGCCAAATTTTATCGAGATCGGTTCCGATTTGGATATAGCTCCCATTTATATTTTTATCCGATTTCAAGTTAATTGTGCACAAAATGGGGAAATACAAGTCCGAATTTAAAAGATACAAATGCTTCGGCATATTTAGTCCTTTGAATTTTAAATTATAATTATAATCATAGCGTGTATGATTGAATTCTCCCATAAAAGCTTTTAATTGTTATGCGCAGCTCTACTAAATTAGCAAAGTGGTGTAGGGTATCATAAAGTCGGCCCCGCCCGACTTTAAGACTTTCTTCACTGGTTTTATCTAATCCTATTTGCTGTGCGCCAAACTTATTTCTTTAGGACCAGCCAATTTTTGCCAACTGTTACTGAATGTGGTTTGCAATATTTGTGGGAGCCCAATATTTTTATGCCAGTATCTTTACTATTACTTTAGCCGGAAATACTTTGAATTCTCAAACTTAACGACAAATGAAGAAGTAATTCTGACTTTCTCCTGTATTGATTACCCTTCACAACAATCATACGACCAAATTACATTGCGTTGAAAGAATTGTCCACTTTACCCAACATTTCTGCAAAACGGCAACACTGTGTTAGAACATATTTTAATATGTGTGTGTGTATGTGCGTACGTGTGTGTTTCATTCAATTACATTCACACTGAGGTCCTTGTCAGAGTAACCCTTGGCAAGTCAAGTGCATAATGAACAAAAGTAAAAAATTATATTAAAAACTAGAAAAAAGGCAAAAAATTCAAACTTGTGAAAATTGTTTTTGTTCTATAGTTCAAGTGTTTTGCAGTAGATTGTTAAAGAAAGTTCCCATGAAAAATAAAGTTCCAAGTACAAAGAAAATACAACAAAAAATCAGCAAAAAGAACGAGTAGAAGAAACAAAAAAAAAAACTGAACAAGGAAAAAATCACGCACAAAACGTCCTGCAAATACAATTCTGCAGGCTAATATAAGTTTTAAATAAAAAAGAAAAAAAAAGTATTTCATAGAAAAAAAAACCTAGTTATAAATATAACAAGTAGCAGATAAAATCACCACCTACAAGAAAATTTTGTAGAAAACGAAAAAAAAAAACAAGCTCATATCTACAGCTGCCAAATATTGTGTGGACCAGTGTAAATTTAAAAAACCAACAACCAAATAACCCTTCTTTAAAGTTGAAAGTTTAGTGAAAATAAACAAAGGATCTATTTAATTTTAATAGCTTTTCAAAAAGTGTCTGTTTTATCCGCAACTCCAAAGGCATTTTGAAAAAAAAGTAAAAAATCTCTTACTCTCTGTTTTGTTACTGTGTTCAAGTTCCTTTCCAAAGCATATCCTTTGAGTGTGAGAACAACATAAGTCCTAAAAATATACCTCCATGTGTGAGAGTGTATGAGTGTGTGTGTGTGGGTCTCTTAATGTTGTGTAGTGTTGTAACAAAAAAGAAAACAGAAAGCAAAAGAGTGTGTCCCGAATATTTTGCGTGATTCAATCATTGTATGTGTGTGAGTGTGTGTGAGTGCAAAGCGTTTGTGTGTAAGCTTGTAAATCCTGTGTTTCCCTAAGGAAAAGTGCAATAGCTAACAAAATTTCCTACTTTCGTTCTATTTGACAATAGTTATTAAATAACAGAAACACTCTCACACCTCTCTCCTTAAAAAAAAATAACAACTTGGCGCTCTCATAACAAAATTACCAAACAAAGTTGCACTCCCGTTTCTGTGTGGTGACATTGATCCCGGCCCGGTCCCGCACAGCTCTTTTCTTTTTTGAAACTGTCTACGAAAATTCTTTCAAAATATCTTCATTCGAAGAAGATTATCGGGCTGATCGGCCCATGGTGCAACGTGCATCATCTTCAGATGTACCTTCCGTATCGGGCGGCCATCGAGAATCTCGATTTGGCCTTGGTTATTCATCATATCAAAGTGGATACAATAAACTATTTACACAGGTTGGTACAACAAGATATAAACAAACAAAACAAAAATATAAAATAGCAGAACATTTAACATATGCTGAACATAAACAAATGTATTATCGAACATAAATAAAATAACTATAAAATTGTGTTTAGTTTCGAATGTATACTACGTGTGGGGTTAAGTCTAAAGATGTTTCATATAAAACAACTTTAGACATTGATAATTCCGTTTTGATATGGTTACAAAGAGAGGGAAGGGTAATGGTTAACCCAACAATCTTAGGTGATAACATTTTTAAACTTTATTAGAATTTACTCTGGGATTGAAATTCAGTTGCCTTAATGAATTTCCTTAACTGTTTTACATCAATTACCATGATCTGATTAAGGTCAGGTATGGAGTCGTTCCCTATGAATTGGGATCTGATATTTGCAAACGCTGGGTATTGGCAGATAAAATATTCGTCATCTATCCCGCATGCCCTTCATATGCTGTTATCAGCTGTTAACTTGTAAAGATGAGCGTGAAGGCCCAGGTGCCCAGGTGCCCAGGTGCCCAGCTGCCCAGGATGCCTGTTACCACACTAATCTCCTTCTTACCTAGTAATAATAGGTTCTTTGCTTTAATTGGGGTCGCTCCATAGGATTTTGGTAGTTTTCCCTATGCCCTCATTGTTTTTGCCCATGACTTCAACATTAGTCGAGACGCATTAAGCGGCACTGGATTGTCGAAGTTTATTGTTGCTAATTCCCTGCCTGTTTACCTCTAACTCCCTCATGCCCTGGTACCCATATAATGCGTACTGAGCCGTGTAGAGAGTATTTGTTAATTGTATCTATAAAATTGAAAATTTGTAACGAATAGTTCTAGTGACAAAACCGTAATTTCAGATTTTTAAGTATATTAACCTTATAACCTCATCCATAAAATTGAGATGATTTTAACTTTGCCATACCAAGTAAATAAAAACATTAAGTTCGGCCGGGCCAAACTTTTAATACCCTCCACCTTAGGGTAAAGAAAACATTAGAAGAAAAAACCATTAAAATGCCAAATATCGGGAGGTACCGTTATATGGGGGCTATACCAAATCGTAGACCTACACATGCAATGTTTTGCTAAAGGAGCTAGGATCCATTATGACCTACAAATACACATTTTTACCAAAATGTGGCAAAAATCATCAAATTACCGAATATTGGGAGGTACTGTTATATGGGGGCTATACCAAAATGTAGACCTATAATTGCAATGATTCGCCAAACGAACAAGGACCCATTATGATCAACAACTACCAATTTTCAGAGAAATTCTTGAAAAAATGTGTCAAAAATCATCAAAATACCGAATATTGGAAGGTACCGTTATATGGGAACTATATCAAAACGTGGACCTATACATACAATGTTTCGCCACACGAACTAGGACCCATTATGACCTACAAATACCAATTTTCAGACAAATCCGTGAAAAAATGTGGCATAAATCATCAAAATACCGAATATTGGGAGGTACCGTTATATGGGGACTATACCAGAACGTGGACCGATATATCTCATGTTCAATACCAACCATCCTAGACACAATACAAATTGCTCTGCTAAATTTTGGCGATCTACGTCAAATAATGTGGGCTGTATCGTGATTTCAGCAGACAGACAGACAGACGGACAGACAGACAGACGGACATCGTTAAATCGATTTAGAATTTGATGCTGATTGTGAATATATATACTTTATGGGGTCTACGACGAATATTTAAGGATGTTGCAAAATGAAATGACAAAGTTAATATACCCTCCTTTCCAATGTGGAGCGTATAAAAAAACAGATTTTCCACATTTTGGCTTATAACTCTTTCCACAGCCATTTGGAGCATTTCTTCAAACCGACGGATCCATAGGAACCATACAGATAACAGGTTGAAATGGTAGCGTAGCCCGACGTCAGGGAAGTGGACGGAAGAAAACAGCAACATTAGCAGAAATGGTTAGAGAATTAAAGAAGCGGCTTAATGGAAACCGACGTCGCAGTGGCCGAAAAATGGCTCGTGAACTGAACATATCGCAATATTCCATTCGGCAAATATTAAAAAATGAGCTAGGGGTAAAACCATTGAAATTCCAAAAAGTGCAGGAACTTACACCGCTATGGAAAGAAAATATGTTGACTCGAATAAGATAAAGAGTAGCTTCGCTTGGCCGAAAGTGGCCAAATTTGGTTTTGCCGAATTTGGTTTTCTCCGATGAGAAAACATTTGTTGTCCAGCAGTTTGTAAACAATTAAAATGATCGTGTTTACTTACATAACAGCCGATGGTCGCTCTCCGTTCGTACTAATCGACCCTGGCATCAGAATAAATGCTGAATATTTTCGACAAAATACATTTTGGCCACTGACCTTGGACATTCCCACAGGACCCAGCAGCATCGTACCCAGCACGCGCCACCTAAGAATGGTTGCAAAATGAGGTTCCTCGCTTCATTTCCATCGCACAATAGCCACCAAAATCTCCGGATACCACCCGCTGGACTATTGTGTCTGGAGTATTTTGGAAAGCAAGGTTGGCACTAAAAAATACCGAAGTGTCGATCACCTCAAGCAAGCACTTCGCCGGGAATGGGCCAAAATACCGCAGAGCAACATTCGGGCAGCGTGTGACGGTTTTATTGGCCGTTTGAAGGCCATATTTCGAGCCAAAGGTGACCAATTCGAAAAAACTTAAACTTATTCTAATATTTGATGCTATTTTCGAAATTTTTTGCTTTCATTCAATAAAATTTAAACAAAATTGTAAAAATTATGGCGTTGGACTTTTTTTTTGCCTTTTTTATATCTCTCTATATATCAAACATGAAAATAATCACATAAAGGTTTCGCAAGTTATAAGAACTTGAGGGAAGGTAGCAACAGGGCTGGGTCAGTATCTATCTCAGGAACCTCGCTCTAGAAAAAATTAGGAATGTTTGAAATTTGAATAGAATCAAATGTTTAATTCGCATTATATATGCATTTGGATTTTATTTGCATTTGGATTCAACATTTTGATCCTTTTGTGCAGAAGGTACCAGAAGAATTGGTTCGATATATCCCACATTCACACTAGATATTGTGTTATCAAAAATATTTGGATGTGCCGAGCTTTTTGGATATTCATGAGTTTCATGGATATTCAAAATGTTGACCCATTGTGTCGCTAGCAGAAGGAGTGGGCCGATCTCCACAACAGGTCTTGTGTTTATAAAAACATTGAGATGTGTGAAATTTGAAGACGATCGGACTCTAATTTCACATTTTATAAGAGTTAGAATTATTCAAAATGTTGGCCCTTTTTGGGGAGGTACTTGATGAAGTGGGCTGATATTGTCCATTTTCGAATCTCACCTAGCGCTGATGCAAATATTCGGATTTGTAAAGTTGGAGCAAATTCGAATGATCTGTGTGAACGATATTGCCCATCTCCGAACCCGATCTAAGTTTGAAAATAGTATTACAATGTACCAAGTTTAGACCAAATTAGATACTCTCTACGAGACGTATGCCAGACAGACAGAGAGACAGACGAACACCCTTATATTGACTTCAAATATCCAGAAGCGGATATATACCTAGGGTCTAATACCGCAATTTATATGTGCCACATTTTGGCAGTATTAAAGCAAATTAAATTTACTGAAAATCGGTTCAGATATAGCAACAGCTCCCATATATATGTTTTATGCGAACTGCTTTAACACCTCACATGCGTAATAGGCACTCTACAAGAAGTATACTTGGTTCCAGATATCAGATACAGCCCAGAAATACCCCTGTCAAATTTTATTGAGATCGGATCAAATTTGTATATAGCTCCCATATATGTTTCATCAATTTGTGGTTTTGAGTCCCGCACATGCGTAATATGCACTCCACAACAATGTTCTTTGGTACCAGATATGAATAAACAGATCGGAAATAATTGCCTAATGTTTCATCCGATTTAGTGTGAAGGTGCCTCACATGCGTAATATGCACTCCACAACAATGATATTTGATACCGGAAATCGAACCTCTACCAAATTTTATTGAGATCAGTTCAGATTTTTATATACCTTCGATGTATATATACATGTAATATTAGCCCAAATTGGATAAATTATTTCAAACTCATTTTTTCACATTTCTGGTATATCTACTACTCCAATAAATATTTTTAAATAAGACTCTTATCAAACGCCTCCATCAAATTTGTTGTTAATCGATTCAGAGTTGGTTATAGTTCCCAAATTGTGACTGCTCTAAAGCTTTGGTACGCATTCAAATAAGGTTCCTAGTTGGTATGATCACTTCTCTACGCATAGTGGTGTAGGGTGTCATATAGTTGGCACCGCTCAACTTTGAACGTGTCCTCATCGGTTAAGTAATAACCTAATTTTGTAAAAAGCTAATAGTAATGCAAAATGTCGTTGATTTGCAAGGGTTATTCGTCTTATAAGTCGAACGTTAGTAGTAAAATTAACTCTATATCTAGTCCGGGACTTGTGACAAACGATTTTGTCCAATATTTTGATCTGATACTTTCTCATATTTGCCAATAATATTTTTGAATGCCTAAAATGGCTGAATTCCATGGAATATAAAATCTTAAATATTTTCAATAATATAAACAAGTAAGCAAAGGCTACAGTTGAGCGGGGCCGACCGTTGAATACCCTACAACACTATAATAAACGATACAGTTTATATAGGCGAGATACTCGAAAGAATTCCAAAAGATATTGTGACAATTAATAAAAGAAAACCATCAGGTTTCGTTCTCCAATTTTCAAATAATAGCAACTTGAACTAATTTGCTCATTTCCAATTTATTGGTAATTAAATTGTCTTCCTAGATCTGGAATCAATATTTCCCAAAGACCTATAATCTCTCAGAATTGACAAAATATTAACATTTATTATTGGTTTTTGACTGAAACACATCTATGTGAGATACAGACATTTGACTATATTCCTTAACGAAATCAGCGTTAACGAAATGGTCAGAAGTGCG